TTTTGAAAGAAAAGATTTTTCATATGTTTTACTAATTGATCTGCAAGCTGAGTCGATACTTTTTGCCGGTGAGTGTATGTGTACTTATTCGTTATAGAGTAATTATACTGCACAATTCCAAAATGTGAAAAAGTTGTTAATATCAACCGTCTGAAGTTCAAATATTTTTACCATGTACAGTCAATTGACCAATTTCAAATGGAGCTGTCAGATTTTCTTGCTTGATATTGCACAAATCAGCTGATGCTTAATTCTTTCTTTCGTCTTTTCATTTTGTTATTATTCTCTGCATGCATAATAGAGGTTAAAATCGAATCGCAAACGCTACAGAATTGCTATTGCTTATCGACTGATGAGACTTTGTGACTTTTAACTTGGCATTTCTCATAACTAAATTTGGATTACAGGGTACGGAACCAGAAAATCTCTTCAGTTTAACATGGTTGACTACAAGCCCATACCAGTTCCCACCCTAACGCTTACCAGTAATCATAAAAGCATTAAAAATGAAGCGGCCTTTGACTTGTTTCGTAATGAATTTTGAAATTAAAGAATAGGATAAAATTCCTCGAATTACTGTACAAACTTTGATAGATTTATGACAAGTCGTTGTGATGAGATATTATAAAAGAATGGGAATATAATTTTATATTAAAATTTTTACACGTAATAAAATTGTAACGAGCTTTCAGATAAGGCTACTTTTATTTGTTTCTGTTGGGTAATTGTTAGATATACACGTTTATATACGCGCGCCATTTTATTCGCAACATACTATGGCTAGAGTACAGATGAGGATTGGCTGCGATAGAGATGTAGTCAGCGGCCTGAAAGAATGTCGTTTCAGAATTACGTAAAATGTTTGCACCCACGACGAAACCCATTGACCATGTAGTTTCAAGATGTTATAAAACAGAGATACATTATATTCAGCACCCGATGTTATCATTAATGGATATCCAGTGATAAATAGTGAAATCCATACATAATCATATAATTTACTTTTCTCCTTTCAAATTGTTGCGATAACCTTCTATTTTCGATTCTCGGTTAAGAACAATTATTATATAAAGGCGTTAACATTCCAGCTTGTTTTATGTAAAAACATAACGTTAATTACAAACCTACCAACAATATCGGTTTTCCACTCAAAGCTAGTCACTAAATGCTTTAGGAAATATTCGTTGTCGGCACGTAAATTGAGATGATCACATAGTTTAAGTACGAATGCAAATGACATTCCCGGCATACCAATAATATGCCTTTGGTCGAAATGAAACTTTTTAATAAATTGAATACTACCTTATGTTACTATCGATTACCATCTCAACATTGTAGCATGACAGTATTAAATAAAGTGCGTAATTAGTACGATGGTGTATTATCATTATTAATGAACATAGAATAAGCTCTATTTCGTTATTCATCAGGAACCCACGTCAACATAGCATATAGTAAGCTGTTACAGTGTGTTGCAAAAGTTTTTGGAAAAGTATACGTGTACTTCAAATACATAAAACTCGAGTCGTGGAAAATATATAATCAAGTGGTTTTATTCTATTAAAGCTTTGTTTCTAACTTCGCTTTTCCCCTGTAAATTTTACATCCATAATGCCTACATCTGACAAAGAAACACAACGAAAGTTATATTACAATTGTGGAAGCAAGGCATTAACAATGCTAAGCAAATACACGAAAAAACAAAAATACCGTTGTCTACTATCTATGTGTATTATAACATCAATAAAATCAAAAAGACTCCCGTAAGAACGTTAGTGGTTGCCCCAGAAAGATTACGGCCAATACATCAAAAGCAATAGGGCAATTTGTTTGTAGAGATTCTACCATTTCTCTACGAACTTTATCAAACAAACTGTCAGGAAATGGAATAAATGTTCATTATTCAACTATTCAGCACCACATGAAAAGAAAAAATTATAAAAAGGCAGTTCCGTTTGGCAACACCAATGCTAACTGATAGTCACAAAAAAAGGCGAGTAGAATGGGCTAAAAAGCACCTAAACAATGACTGGAGTCCAGGCTTGAAAATCTCTGGCATATTGTTAAGACCAACGTAGAAAGAAGAATGCCCAAAAGTCGAGCGCAATTGGAAGAGTTTATGTAGAAGAGTGGAATAAATTTCCAGAGAATATTATAATTAATTTGGTAGAATCTATGAGAGACAGGTGTCGCTTAGTGATTGAGAGAAATGGCGAACGTATTCCATATTAAATTTAGTATAATAAATGTGTAGGTTGTAACATTTTAAATGAGGTATTAAACATGTACATTGGTGCGGTGGTTGTGGAGTTATTAGGAAAAATTCTATTCCAAAAACTTTTGCAACACACTGCAAGTACATTCTCTACAGAATATGGATATTTTTGATATAGTTTTTGTAATATATTTTATATTAGTCAATCTTTATCTATAGTCACGCCCCTTTAACAACCCCCTTCTTTGACTGTATTCTCCTCTTGTTTTTATTCGGTCATAATCGTGTTACGATAATCAGCAGATTGTCAATGTGATTACTATTACTATACATAATAGTGTTACGATAATCAGCAGATTGTCCCATTAACACCATCGCTGGCTGGTCAGCGAATATTGGCAACAATAGAAATCTTTGATTCGATTGCTTTAGTTAGAATTTACATAGCACGGAATCGTTCAAGTGGTTTGATCAAATACTCATACTGCCTCGGTCATGGTGCTACCATAGTAATCGACCGTGTTACATACCCGAGCATATGACCGCAGTAAATAACAATAGCGGGCAAAGCTGTAGAATAATCCATTTGTGATACATTCTGAACAGAAAAAGACTTGCGTCTCTTCTTTACTATTATTAGTTGTCTGCACTCAATATCAACCGCTTACTACTACATATTTTTACACTCGTTCATTGATAATTCAAGACAAGTCGATAAAGTCACCAAGTCATACGTTACACGTATCATCAGCATTATTGTGCAAGTGTAATGTACCACCAGTGACATGCACTACATATTATCGCATTGTTTGTCATTGTTCTCAAATATATGCAGATTGTGCTAACGATTTTTCCGACTTCCCGATTAATCCAAATGTAACAATGTAAGGTGGTCAAACAGGTTTTTTTGAGGTGTTTGTGGGAATAACGCCATTGAAACAACCTTTGCTTATGTCCGACTACGTAAGATCTTTATCGCAAAGTGACTTTATTGCCCCATTTTAGATCCCTGATAGCGCACGTACCTGTGATTAAAGAAAACGCCATTGGATAAGGTTTGCTCTATAATCAACTCGTAAACAAATTGTATTTTGTCCATCCACAGATAACGTAATCACTTGTGAAAAAGAAACAAATGGAACAATCCGATCGCAGTAAAAAGGCTTGGCCGATAACAAGCCTATTGATTCTGATAACGTAACCGCCCTAAAAATAGCGACAATGAACGCATGAAACAATGTCGTTCTATTCTTCTGCAGAGTAAACATGACTTCGTTTGTTAATACCTATTTAGATAATTGATAACGTAATTACTCGTGAATAAACGAAAAAGAAAACGTCATCTTGCTTTAAAATTTATCGGCAGTGCACTCTGTCGATTCTATTTTAGTCGGTCATAATGAATGGGGCGAACAAAAAAACGTCATTTTGCCTTAAAATTTATCCGCAGATAAGTTTGTAAGGAAACGAAAAACGCCATTGAGCAAAAAAAAAAGACTTTGTTAAGCTTGTTTGAGCTAGCTGACACGCAATCGTTAAATGCCATTCGAGCAGAGGAAGCTTGTTTCTGTAATACAAAACTTTTTGATGATGCGACTGATAACGTTTCCGTGAATGAGTGCGCCATTCAATACATCTCCAAAAACAGACTGCATCATAGTGACTGTCGGAGAACATAACAATCAAAAACAATGGCTTATGCATCATTATTATTTCGACAGTGGGAATATTCCAACATTGTGTCTAATTTCCGATATAATGTGAGTTACGTAATCCGAATGAATGCATCATGTTGTACTTACTAGCATTGGTATACGTTGTTTATTCTAAACTAGAGATTTCAATTCTGTACAGGGCCCCCAAAATTTGTTATAAAGCAGCAATCCATTTGCAGCGTCAAAAAATCGTCCACCGTCTTGGTCAAAATAACAAACTTATACGTTCTTTGTAAAACTCTCTCATAAAGCTCTCCCCCGTCTCTTACTCTCTCTCTGACTGGCGATTAACGTTGGCAATTTCGGTGGACCTCCGTGCTGGACGCGGACTTTTATCGCTTCGTTCAGTTTCTCCACGATCCTGCATCGGTATGCCACATGAATACATTTGTTATAGATATATGAAGATGTGCGCTTACAGAATTCGTTTATTAATATAGTTGCAGGTCGTGGGGGAAAATTTAAATTATGCAGCCAGGTCGGAAAGAGTTAAGCCAAAAGTAAGTCAATATGTTTGTTGAGTTTCATGTATTCAACTAAAGTATAAGAAGCTGACTTTTTGACATATTTATTAATTATATGGTTAGATACAGGAGCTGTGAATATGATGTGTAATGCTGTGTGTGAACCCTATGATGTTATCTATAAACCTCCAATAAACAACCGATACCGGCCCATAATCTATGATGTTATCGTTATTGCGTGCTATAAATATCGCCCAGCACTGTTAGAACTGGCTATTATGTAATGCTATGTGGGACGTCTAACATTATTATTGCAGTTTTCGACCTAACGCTAAGCATAGTTAGCGTTATGTATTAATATTACGTAATTAATAATAGAGCCGTGGGCCCCATATAAGGTTGAACATACCGCTATTATCATCTTACGGTATCATAAAGACTAATACTTTCAAATCGGAAATGGTTATCAATTGGTTTAGTATATTACGTGATTATGAAATGTGACGATTTTATAGAGATAGTAAAGGATGACACTGGTGAAAGACGGTGATTGCTAGAAAATATAGCAGTTACGGCTGTAGCATGAATAAAATCGTGCAGCCTAGTAAGGTTGAGACATTGTATTGATAAATAAATTCCAGACAGCTCGCTGCCGCATAACACCTTAGCTGGCATAGTGCATCAGATGTCGGATGATGCAATAGATATGAGAAAAATATTGGTTTCTAGAATGGGGAAGAGTTTCGTCGAACATGTACAATATGGCGCGCGTACCAGGTCAGAAGGATGACTACGTATCAAATGATTACTTTGATAAGTTAGAGTTGGAGGAGAGTAGTGAATATGATAATGCACTATGCATTACGAAACGTTAGGATGTGGGTTAGAAACCAGAAAAACAATTAGAATCGTCGGTCCACATAATCTGCACCGGCTATTAGGATTGCAGGAAATATGGCACGAGAATTTTGTGGGTTAGAGTTGAGACAAAGAGAACACCTAAATTAAAATATAGCAATTTGCCAGATCGGAATAGTTACGTGTCAATTGGAAATGCCGAATGGTTGTTTTCAAGGTGAGTCTGGGCTACATGTGTCATGCTTTTTGATTATTACCGTACATGCAATTCACAGAACGATACAACTGTATATTTTACGATGGCATCATACAGATTACATATTTCCAAGCTACTACACATAGTCGTTCAATCTCGCTATGACAGTTTATTAATATCAAAATTCTGTCAGTACAATGTTGACAGTAAACAGACGGAGCGGCTAACGTTAAGAATAATATAGCGTTATTGAAAATAGAGAAGATTCCTTTGACAAAGATAACTTGTGTATCGTGTTGGTGATTTCTTATTTTCTATTGACGATAATATATGTAAATTGTGACTGAATGATGCCAATTTTTGTTTGGTGTAGTGTTGTATGCTAGTAATTCTTCTTTGGAGCAATAGGGATGAGCCTTTCTATATTCTTCGTCAAACTGCTTCATTAAATCGTCATCAAGAATGTTTATTTGTGAATAAACCTTTCCTTATAGTAAGAGTCATATTATGATCCTCCACCTTTAGTATTCGTCAGTTCGACTGAAGGGTGAAATATTTCGTTACGTCATGCTGTTGACAAGAAGATTTTATCCATAGTCAAGTCGTTATTCCATTCTCATTTACTATCTTAATCGAATGTCTTATATATATTATGTATAGGGGTTTTTTGCATCTTGCGCGGCCTTTGAAGCAGAAGTGAATATAATCGTTCAAGTGAGGTGTTTCCAATGCTTCAGCGTTCAGCGTATATTGTATTGTACTTGAGCATGATCTCTGCCCAAATTTCTTTCGGAATAGTAGTCGTTATATTATAGTCGTTCTTACTACCAAGATTATATAAATGTCTCAAGCAATCTTCATAACGTCGCACAGGTTATGGGGGAGGGGGGAGTCGTATAGATGAGTCACCGCAGCAGTCGTCCGTGGCGTTTACGCCAATACGATAGAAGACGATAGTATGCTCTGACGTGCCATTCCCTTCGCCTATATAAATGTCCCAAGAAATTCTCATAACGTCTTCCAGGTTATAGGAGGGGGGAGTTGTATAGATGAGTCACCACAGCAGTCGTGTCATTCCCTTCGCCTATATAAATGTCTCAAGCAATCTTCATAACGTCGCACAGGTTATGGGGGGAGGGGGAGTCGTATAGATGAGTCACCACAGCAGTCGTCCGTGGCGTCTACGCCAATGCGATGGAAGACGATAGTATGCTCTGACGTGCCATTCCCTTCGCCTATATAAATGTCCCAAGGAATCCTCATAATGTCATCCAGGCTATAGGAGGGGGGAGTTGTATAGATGAGTCACCACGGCAGTCGTCCGTGGCGTTTACGCCAATGCGATAGTATGCTCTGACGTGCCATTCCCTTCGCCTATATAAATGTCCCAAGAAATCCTCATAATGTCATCCAGGTTATAGGAGGGGGGAGTTGTATAGATGAGTCACCACAGCGGTCGTCCGTGTCGTTTACGCCAATGCGATAGAAGACGATAGTATGCTCTGACGTGCCCTGCCGATATCTTCTGCTCGATCGATTACCGCAGTGTCCCTAAAGATCATTTATGTTATGTAGAAGCGCGTTTTAGTATAAATAAATCAAATTATACATATATACACCGTCTTCGATTGCCTATGACATACAACAAATATATTTCCAACTGATATTGTGCACGAGCTATTCCCGGTCCCCCTGTTTCGTTATCGACTTACTTTTCTCAGCCCAAAGACCTACACGATATGCTTGATATATGAAGGTAGATTGTCCACGTACTTGCTGGAGAGCAATCCGACGCGTGGGAAGATGGAGTATGTAATGTAAACGTATTCGACGTGTGGCATACAGGATTGCGCGAGTGTCATAACAATCGCAACCAACGCGGTGCTTGTTCAAAAAGTCCGTACATGCACATTCGCAGATGGAGTTTATACTCGTGAATAATTATTTGTCCTTCTTTCCTAGCGGCAACCGAAATCACCTCCAAATGTTCTTGCTTTCGTGTGTTTCTATTAACCAGCTTCTTGTTGAAAGAAATTGATTGCCTTAGTTTCATGTTGATAACACAAACCAAGTCGATGCATTTCCTTGTTCAAATGCTTTTTGATGCAGCTCAATTGATTTTTCTATTCTACCGCTTGATAGCAAAGCCGAGAATGCGTTGTTCACATGCATCTTCCTGTCAGACTGCCTTTAATTATTATTAGAAAAGGATGGATGAGGCGTTTCTGGGGGGTGGCAATCAAGTAGAGTCGGTTGATGGATTGTATTATTTCATAGGCACGTAAAAATGCCCCTAAACCCATTTGGCTCTCCAGTTTCTAGATGTTATAACGCAAAGAGGCATAGTCAGCATTTGATGATAGATTTAATGGAATAACTTAAACTTTATACCACAATTAAGCCTAGCTCACCGCTCATTACGCGCTTGCGCTCAGCTCCACCTTTTCAAATATCGTCATAACCTTCCATTTCTGACTTGTTTTTTTTCACAGCTAACAAAACTACCGACCACCATTCCACACCGCATGCTTAAGCCGCTTTTTTATTGAGTTCCAGGGAATCCCTTACATTATTCGAACAACTCTGCAAATTATCATATAATATATCCTTCTGAATGTCGTTTCAAGAGTTGAGTAAAAATTTTATAGACTGATCGACGATCGACGGTCACGTGTAAACGATTGAAAGAGCTAAATTCCAAAGGTCAATTACTGAACCCGCTCTCCAGCGGCATCATTGACATTAAATATGGGAGAGAGCTAAAGCTAAAATTTATTTCATCAAACTGAACTGACTGGATATTTGTATATATAGCGCCTCCAATAAAATTACTATTGAAGAAAAAGAATATATATTTATTACTATTTAGGTGTCATAGATCCGGATCAACAAAAAAGGGGTGCAAATATAATTGATCCGGATAAGAGTAGAGTTAACTCAAAGAGTTGAGCAAACTGGAAACCCCAAATACTTCACAACGGGAGAGTCTGACTCGCATTAACGAGATCTCAGAGGAAGACAGGGGTTTGAAATGTACGTGAAAGGGTCCAATGCAACAGTAATCAAAATTACTGATTTATTCTGGAGCAGTAATAAATATTAATATGGGATGGATACATGATCATTTTGGCAAAATACATAATAACCATGTCACATGTAGAACCTTAAAGATGGAGCTCGGAAGCTCACCTCTGTTGCTAGTGAAATGTTGTTTTGCTGCATTGGGAATGGATCAGTAAGGCTCATATTTGGATTCAAGCCTTCGGGATTTGTCGCATACACGAAGATATCCAAGACTGCGAAATTCAACCTTTTACTTATTTGTTTTTTATTCGGTATGTTGGATCAAACACTGACGCTCTTCGAATTTCGCAAAGTCTTGCTTTGTGTTTGAGCTTACGGAACAAAGCCATTGACCACCTGAATCGCCGATGTGCGACTAATATTTCGTTTACTCAGCATGCGCTTTCAGCATATTACCACTGACGCGTCATCAAATCTGGTACGTTATGGTGGAATAATGTATAGGAAGTGGAAGTGATATTGTAAGAAAATTATATGTTGCTACGAGAGATGAAGGCTTCGGTGAAGAAGCAAAGGAGGATATTTCTGGCACTTATCACCGCGTTGTTTTTTTAATCCCAAACTCATTTGTATCATCTTAACTCGATATAGCTCCTATTCGGATTGCTTTCTGCAAAATATCAACCGCACCAAAGACCAAAGATAATGAAGTTTAAGGACGGATGCCGTAGAAGAGTATGTTAATGATATTATGAAAGTTCCAACCAATTTAGCAGATATAAATAAAAATGTAATGTCGCCTGATGTAGTCTGTACCGCTGTCAGTTGTACCACTTTACAGATTCTTCTCGGTGCTACTCTCCGATCCGCTAGATCCTGCGATACCATCGGAGTTACGCAGAAATCAGGAGGAATACGTCGTTGCGCATCACACAATACTTTTTACCTCCTGTATAACAGGAAATGTACATTTACAGAATTATATCAGTGAGCTTATCTATCAGTCACTAGACATTTCTTTCTTGGACAATTGCTACTAAAATGTTTGTAGATCTTTATGTAATTATATAATTGCATGAATCCCACTTATTAAGATCACAATTCCATGGTCAGCAGTAAGTTCAATTTTGTTATCTTCTTGCCATTTTTAAAGATGAGGAATTGACATCTTAATCTGTCTTCCTTTGTCTCTCCCAACATAATCCAAGAGAATCTGTATCAATAATATTATTTGTGAAGGCATTGCACAACCTGCCTGATTTGAAATGGCAGAAGCTGATCTATCAGTGTTCTTTTGTTGTGTCTCCACTATGTCAGCCATTACTATTATGTCACCCTAGTTCTTCACCACTGTTATCTTCCATTAAACTTTCTTCATCTTCATTTTTGTTTTTGGATTCTTCATATTCTTCAGACTTTTCAATGTTAGGACTTTCACTCTCTTGTTTCATGACACTAATAAATAAAGCTATTTAACAGGGAGAGTATGGAGTATTAAGGCACATATTTTGCAGTAATGTGAAAAGAAATGAATGCTTCCATGAAAGGTGTAATAATAAGACCCGTGACATAATTATTTAGTCTGCAAAAAGGTATGACACAATTTGGGATGTAGTTGTAGTTGTAACATTTTATGGCAAGCGATCAAATAAGTGAGTCACATGGTAAATCTTCCTCCGCAGTCAAGCAAAATGACCTTAATTTTAGAATGTCGATTGTTTAATTATTTTTAACTCCGTTTCGATGTTTGAGTGTCGCTAAAGGTATATAAGCGACCCTCATGTAAGTTGTCCGCCGATCTATTACTCTTAATTGAGAAACGAGAGCTTATAATTAATTATTAAACCCGATTACTGTTTAATCGGTTATATTAGAGACAAGTGACAGATGCCCGACGTCGGAACACCAAATCGAAGATGGCCCTATTTAATTATTAAATAAAACTTCGATTCTGCAGTAGAATAATTGTTGTTATTATTCTATCGTAGGTACCTTATTTGGAATTACGAGTGATTGGAGCTCGAATAGGGAGTTAGGAAGCGCGCATTTTTAATTATTAAATTAGGTTACTTGTAGATTAGAATTCAGTCTTAATTGAACAATTACTGTAATAAGGGCGGCAGCACGAAACTAATCTGGTAACATCCCCCGGTCGGAAGAACACTCCTACGCGAAAGATTGATCGCTCTCCAAAACCCGACTGTAACAATGGTTACACAAATCAAATATTTGTTTTGATCTTGTCATGGATTTTCTCTTTGATAACAATATAGTAACAACAATTATAATGATAAATGAACTTATGCACCTTGTTAAACTCCATCATGCCACAGTAACAGATTGTAAACAAAACATTTAGTTAAGGGGGCCATATTTGTTCAAAGTTGTATGCTTTTTTCTCTTTGTGAACAGATTTTTTTAAAACTTACACAAACAAATTCATAGAGAATACTAATACATTAGTAAATATCTTGGAAAAATTTGGTGTGCAACACGTGTATACAGACAATGATCTCATGCATGGGAAATCATTTTCTTTTTATTTTTGGTAAAGGAAGCAAAATTACAATATTAAATATCAGATTTCCATAGTAAATTGTAGTTGTTTCATAGCTATCTCTTACTCTGTCTGTATACATATTCAGTATTTTGTGAATGAAAGCTGTGGAATTATTATTGTATATTACTCTATCTTAACATGATAGCACATAAAGTGCTGGGTGTCAAAGTCATTTTGGTGACTACAGGTAGGGTATGTATATGTCATTGTAATATTGACCAGTTGTGGTTGTTGTGGTTATAGCAATTGTAGTGGTTGGCATGGGTGTTGTGGTTGGTGCAGTTGAGGTTGTTGTGTTTGTAGTAGTGATAGTATAAATTGCATCCATTTTACATCCATTTTCATGTCCAGTGAGTCTACTTTATTAATCATAAATTTGAAGGTTTTTGGAGGTAGTTAACCACACATGGGAAGCACTCTCCCATCTTATTTTTAGTGTAAAGTGTTTGGGAAAAGGCTTGCTAATGAGCCTACAATGACATTGTATTTGCTCATGCAATACTGTGTGTTTTGACCAGATTGTTCTTTGACAATGTTCCTGCTCAATTATCTTGTAGTCACTGAGCATTTTGGTTTTTATAGGATCTTTATTGGCAACTACTTGTTCCTCTTGTACTTGATACACCTGAAGTGGGCATTGCAACACACCCAATTTAGTCCCTTCAAGGGGAAGATTCTGCCAACATATTGCTATAAAGCTGCACATTGTCTCTGCTGAATCTGTGTTGTCTTTCATAAAAACTTCACAACATAACATTGGCATAAGCAAGGATTGTCTTTAAAGCCAAAGGTTGTTCAGCTGTTACATGATAGTGTTTAATTTTTTCTGCATCTTGCCCTACCTCATCTTTGTTCAATTATGGTGATCATATTGTAGTGTCTGGGAGGTATTGTCAAGACATGTGTTTATTGCTGGACACTAATTCCTTCAAAGAGAGTCCCTGCAGGGAAATTAAATCTGAACTTTTTTGATTGACATAATCTCTTTGTGCTTTAGAGTACTTATCCTTCAAGATCTTTACGTTCATGTTTATAATTTTAAAGGGCAGAGTACAGTTTTAATGTCTGTATCGTTTCCGTCTTTCCGCAGAAGTCCTCCTTTGCCAGGTTGTAGTAATAGTACTCATTAAACCGTCTGGCCTGAAAAATGGATTTACTGTAAACTTTACTGTGTGTGTTTCCACAGTGGTCCTACATAATCTTCACGTTGATAGTTTAGCCATTCGCGAGCAGGCCTTTGTATTTGTTCGACCGGCCAGGAGCGTCACACAGTGTCTGTCATATTTGCTGATCACCATTTGTGAAACAAGGGAGAACTGATTGGATGTAGGTATCATAGCATCAATTGTCTTTCGTTGACAGGGAGATGTAGTATGAGATATTGATATCTCCCATTAGTCACGTAATAGCATCTGAAAATTGAACGCTCGTTTTCATAAAATTTTATTTCTATAGTAATTCGTGTACTGTACATCATAATAATTAATATTAATAGTGATTGTGACCCTTAAACAGGGCCCGCAGCCTCTGGATATTCGACCCGTAGACAATTGCCGTCCTCTCCTCTCCCCCCCACCCCAATCTCTTCATCAAAAATTGGTATAGCTTTAGAAAGGGGTCTCATATTCGTTGCGTGTATCTATTAGCACAGAAGCGAATATTAGAAAATTTCGTACAAGCTGGTTGCTTCGGAACTCAATCGGTAACTTACGTAGTTGAAAGCCTGTAGTATGAATGATATGTAGATATATCATTCTACACTAAACATAGAAAAGATAATTAAAAGGTTAGATCAAAAACTAACTTCACCCGAATAGTAAGCCGCTGCAATAAAAAGCTTACTGTAAACGATATAATCGGGGGATTGACATTTACAAAAACAAAACGAGAAACTTACAAGCAGGCATCGGACTGCCAGGAAAGAAAGAGGACGGTGAAGACCGGCAGATATATCGATGAGAATATCGCTTTGCCGGAGAACTACGGTTTAACACGTAGTCTATCAAATTCTGGGGAAAAACGCAAGCGATAATTGAATGGGTAAATATCCTATTCACAATTTGTAGTAAAGTGTAAAGCATGTAGTCTGCCCTGCTTACTTTTTTTTTTAATTTCCAAATTATCGACAATTGCTGGAGAACTACGGTTTAACACGTAGTCTATCAAATTCTGAGGAAAAACGCAAGCGATAATTTGAATGGGTAAATATCCTATTCACAACTTGTAGCAAAGTGTAAAGAATGTAGTCTGCCGACTTACTTTTTTTATTATTTCTAAATTATCGACAATTGCCAGAGAACTACGGTTTAACACGTAGTCTGTCGAATTCTGAAGAAAAAAGCAAGCGATAATTTGAATGGGTAAATATTCTATTCACAACTTGTAGCAAATGTAAAGCATATAGTCTGCCCTGACTTACATTTTTTATTTCCAGATTGTCGACAATTGCGTGCGATTCCCATTGACAGGACTTGTTGTTGTTCATTTTGTTTGTCGGCAAACTTTGCTTACAAAACTATTGTATTAATAAGAAATGCAGAGAGTGCGATTTTCCTATTTCCTTCCTTACATATGAAATGTCAAATATGCAGTATCATACGCCAATCTCGGCGATCCTTTCAATTTTGGACTAAACCTGACAAGTGTTTATGGCATCAGCAGATTGGATTCCATAAGACCCTTCTACGCAGGTTGTTTCTACGTGCATTGTGCATCGGGATGTCCGATAACAGTCTGGGTGCTAGTGATACAAATAATATTATGATACAAACGACTAATCGGTAATAGATGAAACGTAAGACTGTAAGAGAAAAATAACTACTGTGGTGTGGTTTTGCATCTACGGCGATAAAGAATAAGCGAACGAGAACTGGTAACTCTTTAATAAAAAGTATTCGGATATGTTTTACGTTTGGGCCAATTGACGTGATATGGCAATACACCTGAATGATTACATATCTGCTATGACGATCCCCAACATCTTTATACTTAAAATATATCCCTTGTTACAAACTGCTGCTACATTTTATTATTATTATTATCCCCTATCCATAACTAAGTTAGTGTGGATCGTTCCACTTGTGTCAATGAATAACCTTAACAAGCAAATAATGTGAAATTTGCCAAAAGCAGTCTATGTAACAACACCTGTGTATCACGACGTTTGCTGCCGAAGGTCAGTCGATAACAAATGGCATATGAAAGTCTTCCGCATATAACACTGAAACCTGCAATGTAACTACCGTATAGGCTCAAAGGAGATTAGTTCAATACACAGCCATTGCACAGCTCTTCTTTTGAAAATTCAAATTTGGTAATCGTAATAAGATACAACATAATGATAACGATCGATAACCCCAATCTTCCAAGATAGTCTTTATTCCTGCATAAATGACCTGCTAAAACCTGTCGTTTCAACATGCAGCATGATAATAAAGAAGAGGGAGTGCAAATCCTTTCGTTCATACATAGTAATAGCAACTTTACGCGCGACACAAAAACGCCAAGCATCATATCGCCATTCAACATTGCCCCAAAATATAGACCATCTGTCTCCAGAAAAGGATATGACGAGTCTATCGCTCAAGTAGTACATATATTAGATCTCATGATCAGTTCCTCCAGCCCATCTGTATTGATAATCGCTTAATGATTTTGGTGCAGACAAAGAAATCAAATTGGGAAATTTCGGATTCGTTTGGTTCGCCCTAATGCGTGGTCAGGTAAGATGGTTAATGACGATAAGGAATAATGGAACGCCATATTTGAACGAGTCGTTGTTACACAATCTAACGGACTGTGGCTGTTTGCCAAATCGGAAAATCATGCAAGTTGGAATACACGAACAGGTACATAATGACAAAGTTATTCAGATTCTTCACGCAACACAAAAATGTTAACCTTATCGCAAATGCGTTTCCATCAGTTACTCAAATTCCTTGATAATCGTCACAAAAGCGTCCGAAACGGCCATGCTATCTTTGCTTGGAACAATTGCGCAGGCGTGAAGGTTAAACCTCTGTCTCCCAGGAATTTTTTTCCTCCCCAAAAACATCCACCTTGAAGTGGTTAATTTATCGACCACCGTACAAAACGACTTTTTCTTCGGGAATACTATACGGATACTCTTAAGTATAGGCGTGGCGGCCTTTATCGCTAAAGATGGGACCACGTCCCATTACCATCATCCGCAGCAACAAAATTGCTTGACTCGAAAGTTGAGCAGATGTCCGCGGATAAACTAAGGCCCAGGCGCACATTCCCTGGGTATACATAAAAGCCGAACGTGCTGCACAACACACAGGTTATAATCTGTGTGTTGTACAAATTTAATTATTAATCGGTAGTAAATATGTATTAAGTAGCATCATCTACCGATTTCCTCTGTGTTCTGCTAATTTCGTAATAATTTATTTCTAATTTGGTCTTAACTAAATGTTCTTTAATAAATCTTTTGTCAAAATAGTTGTTCGGAGATTTTTTTGATAACTTATAAATAAAATAGACGATCGTATCCACCTTGTATAAATATGTCAAAAAACTTTCAGTATCAGCTTTACATTTTTATATTTATATTTATTTGTTATGAAAAATGTATGTAGTAAAAGCACAGTAAATCACCCATGTGCTCAATAAAGACCTCGAAAGCTCAAAATTATTAATGTAGGGGGGGGGGGGAGAAAAAGCAAGGTTTTTATTAATATTATCAATTGCAAAAGTTAATGTAAATAATGAGTAGACATACCAGACTCTTTAATAATATTTGTCTATAACTTAGTTTATTAACTATTTTTTATTAGAAAAAGAGAGGTCTCATAAATGTAACGGGTCAACAAATACATTATATGGAAATATAGCTTTGATATTTAATAAATGCTTAATACTAAAAATAAAATTTGAATTTTGGTTCCTATTTGTTACTGTGTTAATTTGATACAGATAACAAACAGGTCTTACTTACTTACGTAGGTTCTTATTAATCTGATATACGTATATGCTTTCTATGATTGGTTGATTATTCTGGATTGTTGTTACAGACCAATAATAATAGCGTTAGTTATTGTTATTGCACTAGTACTAGCTGAATTTTAGTAGTTGCGAAAAGTCTATTGAAGACATGAGACTCAAACAATAACTTTACTTGGATACGATCACAGTCTATGAGAGTAAAATTCATAAACTTTACTATGACTACGGTTGAAAGAGAAAGTCACTGTCAATTTGCAACAAAAAAATTGGTAAATTAGCCTTTAGTAAGACTTCCTTATTACTCTATTCTTTACTTGACTATAACCTTAATTATAGTACTGTGGTTTGATCTCTGATAATATGAAGACTATCCGTCACCGAAAGAATTGGCAGTCTGGTGAGACTATAGTCACGTTAAAATATCGGTTGAAAAACTATTTTCTGTCTCAACAATTTAACCCAAGAAGTCGTGCTAGGAATAACTTTGATGCAATAGTTATACTCAATGGACAAAGTGTTCCAAAAACTATCTATATATATATTTTTTTTTCAAAAATTACACTTAATAATGATTGCAGTTCTTATATTATTTAAAAATTCTAGCTTCCAAGAAAGTCTTTTATTAATGCCCAACTTTATTTTGTGAAGTGTTTAATATAATAAAATAAATTTATGCAATGGCTATTTTGTTTTTGTTTCTTAAAACGTAATTACAATTTTGTATTATTTGAAAGCTTTAGTTATCAAAGAAGTCTTTTATTAATGTTAAACTCTATTTTGGGAAATTTTATCATTATGTTGTAAATATAAACTTGATGATCATTTCTTTAAAGAGTGGGAGAACCTGACAATTATTTTTGTTTTGTATTTTGAACTAACAATAACCGAATGCTTACAAAAGATCAGATTGGTTTTCTCAGTCACAAGACCTTAATCCCCTGCAAAATGAACTTTTGAAAATTAAAAAGATTGTCTTTGAAGGTCAAAAACTAGAATAGTTGGAAATTTTTAAAACAAGAATGGGAACAAATGTTACATAAAAATATCTAGTATGCCCAAAATGGTAGAAGCTTGTATTGTCAACCATGGTTGCTGAAATTAATTATCAATTTATAAATGTAATGACAATCTTATTTTTAATTTACCATAATAAATTTTTAACAAACCTTTATGAGAACTAGAGCTGTTAACTAATATAACAATTTCAAAATGCAAACTAGGAATAGTTTTGGGTGACATACTAATACTCGTTGTATTGAAACGGACTTGATTATAACTGACCATATTGATAATAATAATAATTATTATTTAATCTACAACCACTGAACGTAGTATTTATTATTATATAGATATAAATAATTATATCACCAATTATTGTACGGCAACACTGATCAAAATTTAATTTGAAAAGCTGCTAGAATCACTAAACTCTTTTTACGAAATTCAGCAGATAGTGTTTTCTGACAAAGGCGTAAGTCTTGCATATATTGATGTTACGACCCGTTTCAAGAGAGACAGGCCCGTGCACAAGAGAAACGCTCAAAAGCCATGTTTCAAAGAAGGGAAGAACTATTGTGAGTAACTTTATCCATAAAAAGTGCTCGCTAAACCCCAAGAAGGAAGAACCACGTCTCATATAGTTCTTCAAGACACTTGCTGACGAGCAACCGGTGAATGCCATGGGAATGGATGAAGTTTTCTTACAGATACGTTAATAATTGGGGGCAATTACAGTCCCCGGCGAAAATAATGGCGGTGACGATCGTCTTTACGGTTTTTATAAATTCTAATGCAAAAATCGGTTATCTGTTATTATAATAATATGTAAACGTATTACTATTTTTTTTTTTACTTAATACATTAGGCGGGTTAAAGAAATCCTTGTCTTTATATTTGCATTTTAGTAATCTCAGTTTGATTGTCTCAAATCTACTATACAATGTTCGCGTTTTTAGGCTTATAGAAGATCATAAATCGAAACATGATTTTGCCTGATATCAGTGTGTTAAAGTATAATAATGTTTCTTGTTACTCAAAATTTATAGATCTAAGAGGAAGCCACTATTCATCTTGATTTAATGATGTTAGTCTTGAGCATGTTAAAAATAATAAAAACAAAATCTATAATTTAAAAAATACTGAGAACTGTAAATTACTGAGGGCGAGATGGGGATACCTGCTGATTGTAGTAATCGATTACAGGAAGTAAGGAGTGACCAAACAAAATGAAGGTGACGGGCTGCGTGGAGTAATGCAACAAATGATGGGGCGGTACATGACGGACCCAATATAATTAATACCAAGTATGTGAGACCCTTCCCAACACTTTATTGACGACGGTTTCCGTAAGTAATCCATCCTATAAAACGAAGAGTCTACTTTTATTGCAGTTCGATGGCGTGCGGTTTGTGTACAATTTTTCGATAACGCACTTCATCACATTTACACAAACATTTATTTCAATATTTTTGTTGCTAGCCAAATAAATTATCGAAATATTTCCTTCTTCGTGAATGTCAGCAACAGACAAAGCTTAGATTGTTCGCGTCGCTTTGTGATTGCCCAATTTTCTACAATGTTTTTCTAGGATAGAGTTTGTTGACCATACGATAACTTCTTTTAATAAGATTAATCGTTGTGATATTTGAACTGCTAAGATGACACAATGTAATGTGGGCAATAGGGTGAATGTTGATGTAATTTTAGGATAATTGGAAAACTAAGAATGAAACTCCATATTCGTTGCATTCCATTAAGCAAGATGTAGCCAAAAATTCGTAGTTGCAACTTGCCCACTAGTTGGTTGAAATTAAATAATACACGCATTAATAACTGAAAGTCGAGATTGATAGAAAGTCCCTGTGAACGCATAAGTTTCGTCCAACATAGAGACATTACCGTAATATTGAACAGCTATCCAAAGCTTGGATGACCGCAGTGTTATATATTTACCTCTGAGAACATCACCGTTATCGGTAGCTTGATAAATACAAACTTGCTAACTGATGACAGGACATGGATGTTGTAAACAATAGAAAAAGGTCTTCGTATGAACCGGACTGTCCTTTGGGATTATCATAAACCATTACCTAGAGGCAGATTATACTAGTCAGTTATTGATACTACAAATAAATTCGTCCGCTTTTATTGCTTACCCGTTGGGTATCCGTTTTGGCGAAATCAAATTCCACGTACTACTATACATCTCCATATAGAAAATTAAGTGTTGACTCACAACTTCAAACTCATTTCCCGTTATTTGGAAAACAGGATGTATGCACGCCAGGAGTACATTCTTTGAACGAAAATTCCATTGTTTTCGTGCACATCAGCCATGAGTTGATCATACGCGATAATGGATGTAACCGAGACGCTTAACCGCAGGTTAAGTCAAAGATTTCCATCCCATTCGTAAGCACGTTAGATGCTTAGCATCAATGACCGCTCCGGTTGATAGAACGTAATTCGAACAAAAGTTTCTGCAAAGTTCCTGAGAAAGTAACGTTCCTTGATGCTATATAGGTTAACCGGTTTGTCTGTTATGAAGAGTAATAAGCAAGATATAAAACAAAATTATAGAAAAACAAAATTATAGAAAAAAAAATTATAGAAAACCAAAATTATATAAAAAACAAAAAATTATAGAAACCAAAAATTATAGTAAATAGAAATTTTTATATAAAAAAACCATACAAATATAGCCAAATTCGTATTTGCAACTTGCCCACTAATTGGTTGAAATTAAATAATGCATTAATCACTGAAGGTGAAGGTTGACATAAAGTAGACCTATTATACTCACGCGTCGCTTGAACCCATAAGGCTCGTCCAACATAGAGATATTATCGTAATATTAAACCGCAGTAATACTTTTATGTCGTATCAGTGTTTTTAGATACTTTGAACATACTTCTCTGACTAATGGCTCTTGTAGATTTTATTTCGACGTGAAATAAGAGCTACTTCCCGACGATAGATCGTACCGAGGGACGCTGCTTTGAAGGGGCTTCGAACAGCTTATCAGCCCGGAGTGGTGGTGACCCAATCAGGGTAATTTTCAAAGGTTTAGAATGCCAACCAGTTTGACACATGCAAGTTTTTCTTTGTATAAATGCGTTTTGAAAATGCATGATTGATTGATCAACATTAAATTCTCTGATCACGTGGTAGAGTTCCGCTGTAGAAAAAATTTATAGAAATTCGTGTCGTGAATTCAATTCTTTGAGGTGCTGGGAAAGAAGACGAGACTAAGACAGACTTTTGGACTGTGGTGCTGAGGATTGACGGAACATTGGAGGTTAGTAATGCGACAGGAGTGGTGTTTGAATTGTTGTCAGCATGTGCTGGTAAGCGTGATACTTCGAGTATCAATTCGTATTCGGACGACTTGAACCACTTCTGTGATCTCAAATATATCATCATTAACAAGATTCGTTAACTCGGGAATTTCAGGTTCTAAACCGTGATAGTTCTATCACACGCCAGAATGTCAAAGTAGTTGAGATCCTTCGGAAATCTTCATACTTAATAGTACGTTCCTGCATTGTTATTCGTTCCGTCATTGTTTGCGAAACGCCTCACGAAAACTTTATTATTATAATCCACGACTGCTCAACTTTCTTTCCACAACTCCGATCCAACCACTCCAACCACGCCAAAACCACGCTTACAGTCCCTTTTCTCAACTCGACTGGCTCTCTGTCTCTTGTATCCATCACGGACACGGCAGAGACCCATGCGCTTCTATATTCTAATATTGAGGTACGAGTTAACTGATTTAGCTTTATGAGTTGGTGGACGAGATTTTTTCGGTTGACTATTATAGAGGATGTTATGAATTGTGATTAGAGTTTATTATAATGAGCGCAAATCAAATCTACATAAATTATGTTCGCTCACCTATTCTTGCTTTGCAGGATACACGTGGAATGGTTACTCTTCATGAATTTAATTATTAAATGCATAATCTACTGAGCCACAAATTCCTCGACCTGGATACCTGTTGACTTGCGTTAGACCAACGGTAACCATGCAAATAATTCGAGTAAATACATATTTTTAGTTTTGTCTAAATTGTCGTTGTATTCTGTAGGGTTATGTTCTGCATTTGAGGACAACAACCGATTAATTAGTGTCGCATCCAAACACGAAAAAGTGTTTCTTTCATAAAAGATTTTATTATTTTATGAGATATATACAATAGTGTTTTGTTCTGGATTTCAAGTAAGTAGATTGCTAACCTCGAGTGCTGAACATAATGTTTTTGACAATTAGTTTACTAGACAATCTGATATTTTAGGAAGAACCAGCAAACCTAGCCTTTTTGAGAAGACTACCACAAACTCTCAGTAATTTACATTAGTTGACAGCACTTTACTTTGTCGTTGCGGACAACGACGAAAACATCTATTTATTCCAATATGCACATTCAAGTAATGTTATGTTACCGTTTACAATTATTCTATTTCATTCGCAAGACATTCAACTGATCGTTGCTCTAAATTATCAGTTCGCTTTTTCTCCGTGCTGAACCACAAATTATCGTGGCGACTATCTCTGGGTCCATCATACCAGCTGTTGGGATATCCTAGACGAACATATTCTGCTGCCCAATAAATCGAGCATTTCTTAAATGGTATTTATTAAGAAGTTGAACATATTATTATTGATTATGATTTATTAATTACCACTATTACTCTAAATCACACATACGCTATATTCACCCACACGATCTCCAAAGGTTCTACATTGATCATTTCTCTATCACGCCTCTGCATATCTTTCTCTGCGATAAGAACTGATTGCGACACAGGGTCAGCAATATAAATGTTTTTCAGTCGATATTGTCCATGTTACGTAAGTGGTGTGACGTGTGTCGAAGGCTTGCCGGTCCGGTGAAGAATTGTAGAAGCCAGATAGGATATACAAAATATCCTGAAACTGGATACAATTGTAATGTAAAAAAAGAGGGTTTATAGACTTTTTGGTGAATTCATTAACAATAAACTGACTATATCTCTCTGGCTTATAAAATCCAGGAACCAGAGGATTTCTTTGGTCCATGAGCATTTAATCGGGCCTGGGGAAGTTTACGTGTGGAATAATAATAACGTAATATAAGGATTGAGCGATGCTCAATAGCAGATTCTCGGTAGGTATTATTCTTATATTCCTATTTTTTCTCTTGAGTCTATCATTCTCACTCTTTCCTTTTGTTCTCCGCCATCCACACAAATTGCGACGTTTTAAAAGGCTAACAGGAATGCGCACTACCTCGATAAATGTCATTCTTCGACAGTAAAAGCATTTCGGTGGCCCTACCCCACAAGGTGAACAATGCAAACGAGGATTTCCAAAACCATATTCTCCGAACAACGCCGAAGTAACCATGAGTCTTACTTTAAGACCGACATTGGAATGTGAATTTTAATTTTGGTGGACGACGGGAAATGGAGAATATTCCGATGGTGATAATTGACCCCTCTTTCGACAGAAGTATACCCGGATAGCTAGCAGGGCATGGCGTACCATGTCCGCGAGGGAGCGAGCCGACATACTAATTCAGGAGGATAAATTTTAGAATTCGACAATAGCACTATTAAATCCTTCGAGGGAATTGAAAACTGTAATTTTCCTAAATTTTACAATTAGTCGCATCAAAAAGAAAAAGTCGAAAATTATAGAATAGTAAATATACTTGAACAGCCCTGCTTCGATGCATCAGATATTTTTATGACAATTACGCATATTTATTAGCAGCATTATCCATCCAGGCAAATTACTGAATGCTGATTAAAAGAACATGATTACTGTTTATTAAATATCACTCTGGATCTGGGCTCTTACTTATTCGTACTCTTAGCTTTGAGACTACGCCTATTTTATTGTTATACGTGCATATTGATGCCAAGTTCTACATAACCCATCATTTCATGGTATTCCCTTTTCTACAAGGTAGACAAATGCAGTTCTTCAACAGTTTGTATGGATATATTATAAATAATTATGCAGTTGCTGCTCGTAAATTAAAATAGCATCAAGTTAATGCTAGGGTTAGAATATGTTTAAGAAGTTGCCAGAGCGAAGGGCGAATTTACAGGCGAAAATGCAGACCGGAGGGGGGGGGTTGAATTATACAACTTTATTATTTTAATTGACACGAGCCAGGGAACGTGTTCAACAAAATTATGCATAAATTTAGCGCACTCGATCGTCAGGGTAATTAATGCATGCAAGGGATTATTTATTGTGGCTTTGAAAATCAAATTACTATATTTATCGGATTATGTACAACATCGACGACATTCGACATAAAACATCATCGCCAAGTTCATGCATATCGTACAATAAACGTAAGACATAGCAGATTTATTTACAAGTTGGAATAAGCTATTTATTATTAAATTATCTCTTACATTTTCTCAGAATTTGGTAATGTTGAAGCCTATCTCATAAGATGTAATCCAGTCGATACTTTATTTTCCTAGTAATCCAATCTTTTTATTCTCAACAACAAGTAATGATGCAAATATTCTGAAATTTGGATCAAATAAACTAACATTAATTTTAATTAATTTATCAAGTTTTTGTTTTACATTTATATAAAGACAAAATTTTTTTGCTAAGGCACATATTCTAGGTAATAATTGATGATTTACGGTATACGTTATGGAAATTTTTTGTTAAATTATCGGACATAATAAAATAACTTTTTTTTTTACTTATTTTAAAGCATTACCATTGTTATTTTTTTTAGAAAAAATTCTGCTAGAATATCTTGGATGTATGTGAAGATATAAAATTTTTAAATACACTCGCGTCTCAAAGTCACCGACAAAATGCAACTATCTGATATTGGCATGACGAGCAATGCAATTACCGTATACACAAAAAATTGCAGTGTGTTAGTATAACTAGTAATAATAAAATGTTTATACAATTAAAGTTTGGTTACTTAAAAACCAACATTAAGTTATACGACCTAAAAGTTTAAAATTGTTTAAACCTCAATACACAGAATAAATTTACACAACTTTACATTCACTCGAAAGCGCAAAAACGTGCTATCGAATGCAAAAACTTTCTTGCTTCGCTGTCGTTGTTGAGAAATTGAGCTTTAACTAATAAGGCGTATCTAATTTTGAAGGTAACTTTTTATACCTCACGCTCGTACGTTGCGCAGTGTGTTACAAAAAAAAAAGGCAAAAAATAGAAAAACTCTTCGAACGCGTATATTTTATACAATTTAAATTATTTTGATTTACAGGTTGTTTTTTTTTTTTATATATATATATTTTGATGTAAAAATTATGGTTTTTAAAACTGTCAAACAACTTCAAACCTCAACCATAGCTTTTTGCTGTCAGATTCGATTACAAAGTATCTCGATCAAGTTTGAATACATAGTGCAAGATCGTTAGCGGCATGTCAACAGCCCAGCCTCCTAGAAAATTTATGACAATTGGCCAAAACAATGTGGGAAAAAATATGCCCAAAACTGTGGGAGCTTATAGTGAAATTCTATTTCTGATAAAATGTTAATCAATTTAGTGGGATCGATAAATAAAAACGTAAACTAATTATGGGAAATATTTGTGCAAAACTCTATTAATTTATGGCAATAAAACCTCTGCTCATAAGCTATTAAAAAAGTATAAAGCTCATTCATTGCTCTAATCGTTGTAGCACAACGATCAGTAGTTCTTTTTTTCGTAACAGACTGTAATTGGATTGCTTTTCCCTTTCGGTATGATACTCCAGCGCCCCTTAATTTACAGCTGGATGTTACTTTAACTTCCGTAAGCGGCTTATTTTAGCCTTCTAAGCGTAGTCACTTCCGTTCAAAGAGTATATTAATTATATAATTTTGACGCGTCTTTTCTTAAAATTGTTCTCTGCCGCTCCTAGTAAACGATATTTTTTTTTTGAATAATGCAGTACCTTGCAGACTGGGAGAATGTTTAATTTGCCCTATCGGTAGTCGGAAAGTACTGAGAAGCGGGGCATAGGTCGGCGGTCGGCCCTGCCACCATTCGAGGAGACAAGTAAAGCCCCGCGGCCTCCCAAAGCCAAGCGCCCTTAGTGTTGAAACTTCCTGGTGTCTGCGTATTAAGGCCTGGCGAGTTTGAGTTGTTGGTTGCCCGCACATATTGTAGACGATAGCTAACATCATTCTCAGCTATAGCTTGGATTCCGTTTTTTGAATCTAACATCCTTACTTAATTTATCATGTATTACTTATTGCCCTTAAAATACCCTGAGGTTTCGAAATCGCTGATTAGATTCGATCGAAATCTTGAAATTGGCCAAATATAATTGTTAATAATAAACGCGTTTTTTTGGTGTATAATCATTCCCTGACATCCTATGGGCTATCAAAATTAATCCCATTGAAGTTGTAGCTGCAGTATAATTAACAATATGGTGATGCATATAGGGTAGTAAAGTGATACTTTGGTATCCGTTCTTACGAATATTCGGACGTCTTGAGCCACTTCTATGATCTAGGATATATCATCATTAACAAATTGTCAATCGTTATTGGATTTTTAGACCCGCAAACTACCGGAATTCAGGAACTTTTACTTTCCAACTGCGATGGCTCGCCCAAGTTTTGTCAGATGCTCTTTCACGCCAGAATGTCAAAGCATCGACAGAAATAGGTGAAAGTTTATGACATCTCTCAGTGGGAAAAAAAACTCATATTTAATCGGATGTATTATCTACACTATTATTCAATCTATTCCGTCATTGCCACGGAAAGCCTCACGGAACACCAATATTATAATCCAAGGTCCGTACACGCTTAGGAAAAATTCAACTTTTTTTGCCGCCAACTACTACTAACTCGGTAGGTGTAAAAAAAAAAGCCTCAAACCGCTTAATCTTGCAACTGTTTTTGGCGGAAATTAAATTTAATTTACGTATACATTATTCGTCACAGAGGCTTTTTTGCAAAATATAGTTTATTGAAAATGCAAAGACTAGATAAAATGTTCATCTTAATAAACAAATTGATAATAACGTGGCCTTAAAAATGATGATTGGAAATAATATCAAGTCAAGTGCCTATCTTTAAAAATCCATTCCTCTTCAACAACTCGTCGTTTGTTGAGATTTTTGGCTCATTAAAGATTCGGAACAAGATAAAAAAAAAGATAGCGTCTAATAATAGGGGGACCCTAACACAGTCTCAATATAAAAATTTGTAAATTTATTATTTTAAATATGTATTATTCCTCGCACATATACATGCCTGTTTTTGCTACAATTTTTTAGCTTATTTGAAACCTCAGAATAAGGCAAATCTTTTTTATTAATGGCTAAAGGCAGATAGCACAATAATAGCTACCTTAAAGATACACTACAAAGTTAAGGGGCAGGACAAGGAGGCATAATAGGTGTATTCCCTTAAATTGTTGTGTCATATAACTACTGATTCACTTTTAAATACGACTATAGCAGTCGATAGCAACATAAAGTATATTCGCTTTATTAAAATCAAGTTATGCCTGTTTTCTTAGCCAAAAATACTCTAGTACTAGTAGTAGTAGTCTTAAAATATCATGCCGAATTGAAGAGTGAAAGAATAATGTGTCTTCACTTAGTTCTTAAAAGAAATCTTGATACAATGAATCTGGGTAAAATTAATTCGTCATTTAACTAATTATGGTATCCTTACATTGGGGGTACTTATACTTAGTGCTCTACTAATACTAATACTTGCCGATCTATCGAAAATTTTATTTTATTGCAAACCTTTTATTCAAACGTGGCCTGGGCATCATGCAACTTGCTCGATTATCAAAAGGTTGACTACCGTTCACTGATTTCATCTCCACTCTTTTCTATGCTTTTTAACCGTTTTCATAAATTTATTTTCTTGCAGCAGACTTACACATCACAAAAAGCGAAGACCGTCGGCAGTTCCAAACCTCATTACGGA